GGTCTACACATCTACACCTGTAGTGGGTAGGTGTAGATACTCACAGCCAAAAGTCAAAGACACAATTCAGCCTAAACGATTCCAACCAACGTTGCGATGCAACACTCTTAACGACCACATTTAAAAGAACCTAATTCCTGTCAATGACTGCATCATGGACATTTTGCATGATGTCATATTTCTGCACATTTAAATGTCATTATATTTTTAGGTTAATTACCAGAAGCGCATGGTCAACTGCTGCCTGGATGTGAGGCTCCTTTCCACTGGAGGATTTTTCACATAAGCGAGAAGTAAAGATTAAAGTAATGTTGTAAAACACCGTGTGACATCCCAATACACAAAGTCAAATTGCTACTTAGCCAATATTAGCCAGAATACTTTATTAATCCCCCACAAAATAAGGTGGTCACAGTTGCTCCAAGACTGAACTGTAACTAAGTAAGCAAAATGAAATTATTAATGCAATATTTTACAAAGTTACAGAAATATAATAAAAACAAATCTACAAAATATAATAAAAAAAAACCTCCAAAAATACAGATAGCTCTAATTATAAATATCTCAGTGTGTCAGACAAAATTAAATATATATATGCAACACTGAGGTGCCCGTCTTTTTATACTGATGGATGTGATTTAGAAAACCTGACATTTCTTCAGACATGTATTATGTACACAGTAAAAGCATTTGGTCATCAAACATTTCTTCACATTTATTTAGAGTGATCCTGAGTTCTCCAGGACTTCTGAGGATCCTTCAGAGTGTTTATTTGGACATTTTTCACTTATTTTCCGTCCAGTCCTTTTACCATTTTCAGAGGATTGCTTTTTTTCAAGCCACTTTAACCTGTGAATTATTCAAGCATAAAAGAGACACGAATTGGTGTTGTAACACCAATAACAGACAACTTGGTAAAGAACCCATTTAAAGTGTGTCTTTGCTACCAGCAGTCTGTCACCAAAACACATCATTAGTCCCAGTTTCTTTACGTAGATCTAAAAAATGCCACAGACAACAGTTTGATAGAGATTAAATAATATTTTTACTCCAACAAGTTGATTCCCAAGAGCACACGGGCTGCATAAAATAGAAAGTCCTTCACAGTGTTCTGCTCAACCAAAAAGACCTCAGCCTGCCCAGCAGATGGAGCTGATTTTGGTCCTACTTGTAGAGAGCATGAGCGTTGTGTGACCAGTCCAGTTTATTCTTAAGGCGAACACCCAGTAATATATATGTGTCGACCGCCTCAATGTCCAAACTCTGACAGTTCCTCCAGATTGTTCCCCTCAGATACACATTCAATAATGGCTTTATCATCTGAGAACTACTCGCGGAAGTTGTTGGCAAGGTTGTTGAGGTGATGTCCAGTCCTGTTCCTTACAGCTTCTCCCTCAGCAGTGCCTGTTGGATTGTGTTGAAGGGACTGGAGAAGACAAAAGTGAAGTGACTAGATGCAGGAATGACATATAGAGTGTTTGGTGACAGGGGGTGGGGGTGGGGGGGGGAGTGGAAAGTGTGGAGCAGCCTCAGGTGGTGTGAAGAGGAGGCAGAGTTGCAGATGTGGGTGGGCGAGAAAGTGGGACCTGAATTAAAACATATGAAAAACAGATTATATTTATCCACCCAC